GCACCCCAAAAAAGCCTATAAATACACCCCCTTTCCTTCACAATTAGATACCAATTCACATATACGGCTATGTTTGGCACACAAAAGACTCTAGCTTCTAGCTTCTCTATTCTTTAAAAAGACCTTAAAAGATTCTAGTTATATGTTTGGCATGACATTTTTTAAGAGCTTTTCAAAAAATAAAAGATCTTTTTTAAAATGCTACCAGGTGTAGCATCTGAGAAAAGCTCGTGACTTTTAATTTAAATTAGTCCTAACAGCTTGTATACCAAACCGAACTAAATCAAACAGTCAGCTTTTTACCAAACAACTATCACCTTTTCTTTTTAAGATCTTTTCAGTCACTAAAAGCTAACAGTTACTAAAAAGCTCGTAAAAGTATCTTTTTAGCTAGTTGTGCCAAACATACCCTACTTCTTAGCTCAGTTTAGACAAGTTCTTTCTTTATATTTTTCATCATGTTTAGTCTCCAAATGAGGAGCTAAACTCTTCCATCTTGGTTTTGCTACTTCGAAGCTTAATGAATTGTAAGTTGTGAGTTATTTTCTTTAATCTTCTTCCTTGAATATTAATTAATTCCTATACCTATTACATATTAATATTTTGAGCATTATTTAAAGGATCAACTAGTTTTGTTTCATATATTAATGAATACTAGAATCGGTTGATTAATACGCTTGTTATTAACTCGGTCCTTTCACGGTAGTAAAACTTGGGTTGTTAATGCATGTGTCTCATGGTTAATAACCTAAGGATAATTAATTATATTGATTAAACCAATAAACCGCTTGTGTTGAGGTTATCAATCTCAATCGTTTTCATCTTGATTTTATTGCTACTATCGAGAGAATATACGGCGCGTGTTCTATATTAACTCGGTAGTAAGTTTTATTAATGAACGCGTCTCGTTGTTAATAACTACCCTCCATGAATTGGATATACTCCTCGATTGAGTATTTGAGAGGAAGATAGTTAAAGATGTAACCGGGATCGACGAACATTTCATTAAGTGGATAAAAGCAAAGCCAAGTCTTCTTCTCATTAATTTAACCACATAACTCGTTCATCTTCGTATTTAAATATAATTTAAATTCATCAAACAAGCATAAATCCCCCTGTTGTTATATCTATTTCTATAAAAAATGAAGTGTTCCTTTCCCTGTGGATACGAACCTTACTACACTATACTACGTATTAGTGTCGTATTGATTATTATTTTGAGTGCATACACGACAAAGTGCACGTCACTCGACTATGCTTAAATGGTCTTCACAAGTTCATATGAAAGGAAACTAAAGGCATACCAGGTGTTTGTTAAAATGCCAAGGTTATTTCATTGCACTTGCCTTCAAGTACAATTTTTTAAGGTAGATTATATATATGGTACCCATAAGGTACCATATCTTTGTTCACATGGACCAATCAAAATGTTGCAGTTGAATTATTTAAGTCTAAATTAAAAATGATATACCTATTTGGACTAATCAAGTGTGTGGTAGGTACGGTACCCCCATTTTTTAAATGGGTACCGGAGTTCTCACCATTTTTTAATCTAACACATCAATTTTTACTTCTCCTAAAGATTGAGTTCACTTAAGCTTACCAGTTTAGAATGATATATATGTGTTGTTTTCAATGACATGCAACCATATTGACATGTTTTCAGCTCCCGAGACATATTCAAACAACAAACCTTTACATAACAAAATCACTTGAATTAGAAGAGTACAGAACAAAATGTTATGTTCAAAAAAATGCTTATACATATAGAAATGAGTTTAGGATTACTTTAGGAGGTCACAAGTTCCAATCTCATCCCAGTTCAAGGATGTGGCATTAACATTAAGCAGATACTATATATAGGTTAGAAAGAATTGTCCAAAAAAAACTAAACCCACTAAATATTTCTTTATATACCTAATAGAGTACTTTTGTCGTTGTACATTTCAATTTATGAACCTACCTAAATTATAACCACATAAGTCTAGCTCCTGGTTCATAGTTTGCAGGAGCTCTTTTCCTCGTGAACTAGGAATTGGTAATCATATTAGATGTTTGTTACTACAATGTGACATATTGTTTTCAAGTGGGGCGGGACTGGTAGTAAAATTAGTAGGGATGAAACTTCCAAAATGCTTAGATATTTAGTATCTATGTTGGGTATAAATTGTACAATGCTCATTTAAAGCAAAAATATAACTGTAAACACTAATTAGAAACTTGAATTTTCCAAAGAAAGCGTATAGATTATGCAATATTAAGCAAAATGGCTTATTGGCTTAATATGAGTTGTTAACTATACATCCAGGACACTGCACTAGGTCAATGAAGATCAAAGCCGCTATTTATTTTGATCCACGACCATAACGTCCTCAGACTTGCTTGAATCGGTAGGTGCAGCAAAGAAGAAGCACATCGAGCGAGTCGAGCATGCCATCTATTACGCAGGACGTATCCCTGCATCTACTTTCGGTTGGCTTATCTTCTCTTTATACCATTCTTCTCAGAAAGTTCTATTTTTTAGATTATTCTTATTATATTCTTCCTCGATATATATTACCAAACCTATTTTCAATTGTGCAAAATTAAAACCTAAAAAATTATTAAGTTCAAAGCAAGTACAAGTTGGGCATAATACATTCGCGCAACGCGCAATCGCGCGTTCCTAAAAATACATGAGCATCAGTAATTATTACAATATTCTATACGAAGTATATGAAACGTAAGACACTAAGACCTAACTTTCCAAGTAAAAATGAAGACTAATAATTACTCCGTATTCCTACTTAGTATAATAAATGTGTGTATATATGAAACGGATTTATGTAATGACATGTGACTAATAGTAACTAAAAGAGTGACACATGACAATGAAACATATTAGAATGACACATGTCAATGTGACCTTCAATTGTATAATATATAGATTCTCATTTATTCCTTAATATATTAAATGAGAAAAAATCGTACATAGTTAACATAAAAATATTTTCCCGTAATAGACATTTTAAGCTTAAAGATAACTTTTAAATAAACAAAACTATTTAAAAAAGATGAACCGTACTCTAAAAGACTCATACTACGTAATTACTACTCCTATTAAATTAAGTTATTGGGGGTTAAAATTACACTATATATATATAAATCTATATATATATATATAAGTTACCTAATTTTCCATGAATAATACTTTATAATAATAATAAGGAACTATATACTACGTATCACGTATGATATGTAGATTATACATTGAACATTAGTGACTTAATTTCCTAAAAATACATGAGCATCGGTAATTATTACAATATTCTATTCTATACGAAGTAAATGAAACGTAAGACCTAACTTTCCAAGTAAAAATGAAGACTAAGAGCAACCCCAATGGAAAACTTTCTAGTGTGTGTTAAATAAGCCAAATGTCAATTAATTAAAAGGATTTCTAAGTGACGTGATACGAAGTGGATTAGGAGGACTTTGAGTTATTAAAAATTCTTCCAATGCATAAAGTCTCAATTGTACATGTGGCTTTTATTATTAATAAAATATTATTATTATCCCTAAATTTTAGTTAGCTTTCAAAGGGAAGTGATCGTGCTATTTCTCTATTCCAGCCCACTTGCGATGAATTTTATCCCAGTCAGCAAGTTTTCCAGGCTTTCTACAATTGAACTTTAACTCTTCACACTGTCTAAAAGAAATTTGCCACATCACCATGAAAGAACGTAGGACTAGATGCATTGGAAGCAAAATTAAATGGAGAGTGTCTAAATTAATGACATGGCACACTACTCCAACACTAGAAAGAACCGCATTGCGGTTGCTCTAAGAGCATCTCCAATGCTAAAACGTTAACGGTGCATACATGGCATCAGAAATAATCAATTAAAAAATAATAAATACAATATCTCTCTCCTTATTTAAAGGATCTTACATTATTTTAGTAAGTTTATCTTCACAATGTCAAGCACAATGTCTAGATGTAGACATTGTGATTGACATTGCAGACAAAAACTTACCATAAACACATAAGACCGTGGAAAGAAGGAGAGAGATATTGTATTTATTGTTTTTTAATTGGTTATTTCTCATTCCACGTATGCACCGTTAACGCTTTAGCATTGGAGATGCTCTAAGAGCATCTCCAATGGTAAAATGTGCACGGTGCACACGTGGCATGAAAAATAGCCACATAAATATTAGTAAATAAATTCTTTGTCTCCTTATTTGAATGATTTTATACAGTTTTGGTAAGTTTTTCTCCACATTGTCAAGGAGACCGTCTAGATGTTGACATTGTTGTTGACATTGCCGGGAAAAACTTACCAAAATTGTACAAATCATTCAAATAAGAAGAGAAATAATTTATTTGCTAATATTTATGTGGCTATCACTCATGCCACATGTGCACCGTGGACATTATAGCATTGGAGATGCTCTGAGCGTATTAAATGTGCATTATATTATATTGAATTCACCTTAATTTATTCTTATGGACACTACTCCTAGTTCGGATTATTTTTATAAACACTGTTAGGAGATGCTCTCAACTCCTGTCTCCACTTTCCCTTTCGACACTTCGTTCCGGGTAACATTTTTGTCTTCTAACCCAAATAGAACCACATATGGCGAAAGTGACGTTGAGATTAAACATGTTTTAATTTTGTTTGAATTCACCCCGAGAAGAAGAGCGGGGAAGAGAAAAGTAGGAGTATGAGTTGGGAGTATTAGCTGGACGTTAGTTTGAATTCACCTCAATTTATTCTTATGGACATTATTGCTAGTTTGGATTAGTTTTATTAACACTTCCAGTATGGATTATTATTGCTTGTAGGTATTATTCTTATGAATTTCGCCAATAATTAAAAGTCCAGATGAGTTTAACTTTAATTTATTTTTCGACTATATCAAATTAGAATTACTTTTTATGTGCACTATAATCCTTGAGGTTGAAGCGATTGAAAATGTCAAGTCTTCTTACAAATACAGAGTTGAGCACAGTAAGCACACAAACATAATGTTCATAATTACATAAAACTGGTGATTACAAAAGTACAACAAGCTAAAATTGGGGAAGTACAGTAACCTAACTTCCTCCGAGCTTAGGTTAACTCCACGCGATGTGCGGATGGGAGTGTTATTGATTCAGTGTGACTTACTACGGAGTATAACTTTACTTATTTTGCAAATCAGATCCTACAGCTAATAACTTTGTCTCGGACATTTTCACCGTAACGTATGACGACTTCCAATCGCACATTGCCACATTGGTGTCAAAATTCATAACGTGGGGACAAACTTATTAGCTAGACGACCTTCAATCACAAATTAACATGCATGTAAATCAAAACTTCTTGTGTATGTTTCTGCTCCTTCGAGGATAAGAAACGTATATTAAAGTGTTTGAGTGAAGTGTAAAAGTATTTCTGAATGGTTATAAAAGTTGGGGAGTGGATTCTTGATAACTGATAGTGATTCTACTTTTAAGATATTATTAAGGGGGTGTTTGGAATAGAATTAGTGATTCTACTTTCTGCTTTTTTTTTTTAAAGCAGAAGTTGAATCAGAATCAGTTTTCAGAAGTTGGCACCTTCTAAAAAAATGATTCTAGGAATAAATTAGATCATCAAAATCACTTCTGCACTTTCACCCAAACACTTCAGCTTCTGCTCCCCGAAAGAGCAGAAATAGTTTAAAAATCAGATTCAAACACCCTAAATTAAAGGGAAAGCTCCCAAAATAGGACTAAAAAAGTTTGAAAATTACAAAATATGACTGTCATGTTTTTATTCCAAAAATAAGAGTAATTACTGTCACGTTTGAAAAATACTGTCATGTTTAAAATCTGCAACTGCCAAAATATGACACTAATTAGTCATATTTTGATAATAAAAACATAACAGTCCTATTTTAAAATTTTCATTTTAGTAGGTAATATTGTTTAAATTAAATGGTCAGCCGTATAAGCAACCAAAGCAAGGGCAGTTTGCGTCAAAGTGACAGACTGATTGAGCGGAGCTGTGACGTTATTTTCCTGGAGGAAAACAGAAAACAATGCATTGAATAATAATGCATCCGTACATTGAGCTTCAAATGTCTCCGCGTTCACCACCAACGTCAGGACGGTTCCAATCTGAAACTGCAAGTCCGCCTTTGAAGTCATGTTCAGATGCTGCAACTTACCCACCGACTGTTCTATCCTGTCTATGGAGCTCCCCAGGAGTTGGGCGCATTTCTTGAGAGAGTCTATGATAGCTATCAGCAGCAGCTTCGGGAAATCCTTAATAAGCTTCTCGATTGTAACTTTAACGGCAGAGGTTTCGTCCATGGCGAGATTTAAGGCCACCCCAATCAGCTCAATGGCGCCCTTTGTTATGTTTCCGTAATGGATATTTGGGGCGTGGGGGGACAGCAACTGGTAGCATGTTTTGGGGTTCACGAGCTTTGTTGCATTGCAGCATTGCTCGATGAACGCTTCGGGACTCTCGGCGGGCTCGGTGGCTGGCTGTGGGGCTGGCGCAGCAGCAGGCGGCCTTGAGTTCACAACAGCAAGTATTGTGAAGAAGAAGATAATTACCAGGTGAAAATTATATGTACCAGAGCTTTTCATGCTTAATGGTACTGTATAAGTGTGTATATATATACTCCCTTTATTTCTTGTACTAATTTATACTATCTATATACTTAGTATAACTATGACTACTAATAAATGATGTAATGCAATACGTTATTTGAGAGAAAGAAGAGATATCCTCGGATATGGGATGGAAAGATTGAGCTAAATGCCGGCTGTTTAAGTAGTGAATTAAACCATCATCCTTTTGTTTTTGCTTTTCTAAAATGGAGTAAAATAAGTCATCTGCCTATTACTCTATTAGCTAATACCTATTATACAATGAGATTCTGAACCTTACTTATTAAGTTTTCAGATTCCATCACAAAATTAAAGGTTAATTTGATAAGAAGTGTAACTCAAAGTCCATCCAGTGCATTTGATGACGTGCCACGTGCCAGCATCCGCACCACAGGAGGCTCTCCGCCATAAATTAACTTACATGTGTATGTGCATTTAATGCGCCCGACATTTATGACTAGTATAAATATAGCAACCCTTAAGCAGTTGTAACGGACTATGGTTCACACACAATTTTCATGTTGTGACTTTAACCCCTCTCCTCACGATCAAACATTTTTTGATCGTGCCGTCATTTATTTTTTTTTGTTCGTCATTGTCATTTTCAGACTCAAAGTTTCACTCTAAACAACCTGATAGGAGAAGTGACCCAAAGTCTTATATAGTATTTGCGTTATTTTATAGCTTTGGGTAGGGGACAAATATTTCAATAAGATCCTCTAACTATTCAAGTAAAACCCTTTTACTTAATGATAACTTGTATGGTTATTGTGTTACCATAATTTGTTTGCCCTTTTTGACATGTTTTGTTTTTACTATCTACTACCTCCGTTCCGATGGACTTTGCCAAGTGCAAAGTAGGTGAGAAATAAGAATAGTAAAAATTGTATGATTGAGATTTATGCAGAGGAAAGAGAGATGTGCAGAATCACAAATTTGTTGCTTTAAGTAAGTGGCAAAGTTTTTTGGACTAATCAAAAAAGGAAAGTTGACAAAGTCCAACGGGGGACAAATGGAGTATGTTTTTTATGATTCTGGTCTTACACGCAATCTAAGGGGGGACCATAGATTTTTGAGCCAGATGAATGAGATCCATTCAACTGTGCTTTTGAGTTTCAGAAGGAAGACCTCAACAGAAAACCACTAAAACAATAGGATAAATGATTGTAATAAGCAAAAAGTGAAAGTAAATAATACTCCGTACTCGGGCATGAGCTAAAACCGCTACTTAATTGACAATTAGCTTTATTAAATGATTAGATATAGAAGAGTTGTCCCCAATTCATGGTGGTCGATCATAGCGGCCAAGAGGAAGACCGCGATGTTTTTACTTGGATTGTAATTTGCTGGTCTGGTCTGGTCTGATCTGGTCTGGTCTGGTCTGAACTGGTCTGGTCTGGTAAGGTCTGGTTTCTTTGTATTTTTATAACTATCCAAGTCTGGTTTGGTCTGGTCTGGTCTGGACTTGTCTGATCTGGTCTGGTCTGGTCTGGTCTGGGACAAATTACAGTCCAAGTAAAAACATCCTTAGAGGACTTGAAAAATGGAAAATTTCTTATTAGGCCTAAGTAGTTTGTATTTATATAATGTACTTTAGTCTTCTCCTCATTTTTAGAAGTAAATTTATGGGGACTCATATCACTCTTTTTAATTTTTTTCCCCTTTTCAGGCCTATTAGGTTATAGTTTGTACTCTGTACTACTTAATTATTTGTGTGTGAGTCGAAAAATTATTTAAATAATTTGATCATTGTGAAATGTGTGGAATCACCACACAGTATAGCATAATCCAGACTCTTCATATTAATTAAAACTAGAAATAGCATCTGATCTATTACCAAAATGAAGATAAAGAAAAAAATGTACTGTGATGTAATCACTTTTATTTAGTACGACTATATTTAATTCTTCATTGACCATAAAAGTAGACTTATAGTAATTTTAGTTACTACAAAATGCAAAGTTCAAATACAAAGCTCACAACGGGCCGCACGGCCCGTTATCATCCTTTCCTCGGGAAACACACCGTTTCTGCGGCAGCCGTCACCTCGATTCCTGGACCGTCGCCAATTAAGAAACACCGTGGTGAGGAATGTCCGTCTCCAAGGACGCGGCAAGCATAGCCCCGCGCCAGGAACGTCTCACCCCTGAGAAGCAGTATACTTCCTTATGTCCCACGCATGCTCGGAACATCAGAAGTGGGGGACTTGTGTTGGGTTAATGGCCCAAGCAGAGGGCCGGCCCATTCACCCCCTCATTCGGACGAGCGTCCAGTCCAACGCCCAGTCCAGTCCATCCCGACGAACGTCCAGACAGGTAATGGTGAGTCAGGCCCACAAGCAATATACAGTGGCGACGAACGTCGCCACCTCAAGCCACAACCACTTGATGCCAATCCAATCTAAGTGACAAATCCTCTAAGGGCCAGGATACGAACGGCCCACTTCCCTTTGCTGCATCATCAGGAGCAGGCCCCCATCCCAGCTGGACGTACGTCTCCACAAGTTAGGCAGGAAACCCATATTCTGGCGGGAAGCGCATTTAATGCTGAAGATTTGGTGGTTGGGACACCAGCCACACACAGCCCTCCATGTCAGCATAGCCAACTGCCCATTGGTGGTATAAATAGCAGCATTTATTTCATTGTAAGGGGTTGGCAACTTATCTGCCTTAGCATTCTAGCTCATATTTCTCTTACTCGCAGCTCTTCTACTGCCTGGTAAGACGTACGGCCGACGAGCCTCAGCAAGCGTATTGTATTGGGGAGTTATTAACTGATTAATAATACCTAATCTCTTACTTGCTACTTATTGTCTTGAATCCATCTCACTTGTTGTCGGGCTAGTTACTTATACACACATACACCACTTCACTCGAAATTTTTGGACTTACGTGTTGGACCCAAAGGTTGAAGGAATAAACCTCAACACATAGAAAAAGGTGAGTCTCCATACTTGATCGTTTGGGGCAAGTCGGACTGTAGTATCAATAACCTTTGTATGGCACTGGACAACATTCAACTCAAGGTCGTCATTCCATCCGATTATCAGTCCCCCGCTAAGCCCCGCACTATCCACCCCCACGGACTGGCCAAAGCCGTGCCCCCATAGTATATCTTTTGCTCGTTGGCACCAGATTTTTGTTTCCATGAGGAAAATCACAGATGGGTGATGAGCCTGAACAACATCCGCCAAGCATTGAACAGTTGCCGGATTACCAAGCCCACGGCAATTCCAGCTAATAATACTCATTTGCCAAGACTGTCGGGCCTAGCAAAAAACACTCGCCGCCGGAAAACAGGCTAGGATAAAACCTAGAAATCCATCTACACTTGGAGGCTAAAACCCGCCCCAAGAAAACTCACATGCAAACTTCGGCCGCACCCTGCACTGCCCGCTGCAATCTTCTCCCTGATGCCCTCGATTTTCAATGCTAGGATTCCTCCACAGTGACGCCGGCCTGAGACGACACTCCAGTGCTTTTGCGATCCCCTAATGTCCACCCGACCGACTCCTCCGGCGAACTTCTCACGCCAATCGGCAAACGACGAGCGCCGCCATTAGGGATTTTTTACCGCTGGTTTGGGAACGACCGATGTTGTCTAGACTCTGGACGAAAGAATATGTAAACTTGAATAATTAATCTATTTATATTATTAAATAAATATGTAAAATGCTAATTATTTAAAACATTGAGAATTAATGGTTCATCTCGATCAAATGTAAATATTACGTAGTACTACCTCCGTCCCATTAGGAGGTTCCAATTACGGTTTACGATGTTTGACTGACAATAAAACAACTTAATCCTTGTTCACACTCTGATTATTTTTAGTAAATAAAATTTACATATTCAGTAACTACATTAAAACCGCTACAAAGGCTGATAAAAAAAATGTAAGTTTGATAAAAAAAATTAATATATAAAGTAAGAGATTAAGAATGATTTCAGTTGACCATGTGAATAGTGAACGACAACCTTTAAATGAGAAGGAGAGAGTAATATATTAGATGACCCGGGAATTTATGATGTATTATACATGTATATATATGTATATTTGTAGCATAATTTAAAACAAATTATGTATACAGGATATATTCAACAGGAAAAGTAAAAGAAGAAAAAAGAGGTAAAAGTAAAAGGAGAAGCTAGAAAATTGCAACCCAATAAGAAAACGACGCATCTCCGGATGGACCGGATGACATGCTCAATTGGTTCGTAGAGGTCGCCCAGTCTATTTTGAAAAGATACAGATGGTAATTTAGATTATACGATAGTAATAATAGTAGTATATTCGAATTAGTAATGGTTAGTTGAGATTAAAATGTGAAAGACTACGGGACTAATATATGCTATCGTAATTGACTAATCCTATTTGTACACAACATTTTACATGCCGTCCGACAATTTGACACGCCGCCAGACAATTTGACGGACATTTTGTGAAAAAATCATTTTTCGCATAAACAAAAACAAAAGTTGTGTGTGTTTGTGCATAGACAATTTGATCGGCGTGTAAAATCATGTGTACACGAAACATTCATACTTGTGTTGGTATAAAAACAAGAGATTAATCAAGACTTTAAAAGCCACACTTGTGTGCGAAAAGGTTGATCAAAGCGAGGGTAATGCTGATATGGCCGCTGACATTCCGGATCCCATCGGCCACCAACGACTTAAGCCCCGTATCTGACACGTCTCCGATTTCATCCTCACACGTATCTTCATCCGTAAGCGCCGCGCTCATCCACGTCTGCAGGTTGCTAATCTGCAAATGCAGCACTTCTGACCGATTTGGCGTGAGATGCTTCACCTGACTCAGCGACATTTTCACACTGTCCACGCAATCTCCCATGGTCTCCAAGCAATCTCCCAGTCCCTTCTCAGCACTATCCTTTATGCTCTTGACCACGAACTTGGCCTCTGCCAAGGTGAGGTTCATGGCCAGCTTGACCAGCTTGTAGACCTTGAGCTTTTCCAAATCCCCGGCGTGGGCGGACAGCCACCCGTAGCATGTGGATGTGGTCTTGTTGTTTGCAGAATTGCAGGTGTCGTAGATGAATGATTTGGCGGCGGCAGCGGAAGGCGGCGTGCTGCTACTGCTTGAGTGGAGAACTGCGGCGGCAGGTAGCGGCGGCTGTATTACTGAACAGAGGAAGATCATTATCAGGGCGGAAGAGGTTTTCATGGTTATATATTAATAACAACAATGCTTCATAAATTAATTAGTTTCTAATAATAATAATAATAATAATTAATCGCTCTCTAATAGGTAGATCACAAGGAATTAAGATGATGGATAATCTGGGGGATGGGCAGAGATGGGATGAGGAGGGACAGAGCTAGCTAGCAGCAGCAGCATAAGAGCCCGTTTGGAGACCTCTTTTTTCGGCTTATCAGGCTTATCAGCCAGCTTTTTCACCAAACACTTAACTTTTACTTTTGTGTGCTGAATTGTGTAATAAGCAGAAAAAGTAAGGTTGAAGTTACTTTTCTGGCTGTATTGGCTGAAGTTACCGTAGAGGACTATTTTAGCTATTTTTACATGTAATTTTTTCTATAATTTATTAATAAAATATATTTTTAAAATATTTTTTTCTTGAATCAGCAGAATCAGTCAAAACAGCCACTTCAGCCAGAATTTCATAAATTTCAGCAGAATCAGCCAAAACAGCCGATTTTCGTGCTACCAAACGGGCTCTAAATACTTTGTAAAATTGTAAGCAGCAAATTTAACCTTTATGATTTGAGATTACTCTTATACCCTTCCCACCGACCATGCCATTTTCCTTGTTTTCGGTCATTTTCTCCCTTTTTCTTTTTGACTCTACCTCTCTTGTTTTAACCTTTATGATTTGAGATTACTCTTATACCCTCTACCATCATTGTTTTAAGAAAAAACTCTTGTTTTACCCGTTTTAGAAATAATTACATATTTATCATTAGAATAAATATTGTTTATAAAAATGTGATTAATGACTATAGTAGTAATGAAATTATAGTAACTATTAATCATATTTATGTAAATAAGTTTTGATTTAGTAATATTTTTGAAAGAAATCCTCAATTTTATCAATGTCACTAATTATGCGACTAATGTCGCAAATAACTTTGATCATATTTTAAGAAAATTTGTTTGTCATACTTAGAAAATTTGAAAAAAAAAGTATCAAAGACAATTTTTCTATCAATATCATAGGCAAATTGTCGATTAAATTAAGTTGGGTGGGTACGCGGGTGTTAGACATGCGAGGGCGACGCCAAGAATTTTATTTGATTTAATCACACTCATGTCGCTCCATGAGTACTTTGATGCAAATCATTCATTTTGAACCAACAAATAATGAGTAATTCTTGGGTACACGGTTAGAGCAAATATTTAACGGTTTAATTTTACATTTATTAGATTTGGTCACGAAAGTCGATGATACATTTATAAGACTTAATGTTGACTATTAGGACATTTTTATATGAAGTATATTAATATGACAATTGATGTAATTTAGGAGGGAGTTAACCAGTGCGAGTTGTCACAACATATGAAACGTCTGATAAAGCATTATTTACTTTTCCGATAAATTGAAAATTATTCTATTGTAAACACAAGACATTCTTGTTTGAAAATACACATAATACTATTCTTGATTTCTAGCTTAATTTATATTACCCATATTACTTGATTTTCTTATTGTTCATGTATGTGACCCCATCAATATACATATATTGATTGGACAAACACAACGATATAAGTTTAGGGTAGAGGATATAATCATATATTAAGGATATAAAGATCACTTTAATACAATAAATGAAATCAATAATGACTCATTGGCTCATATAACAAAACTATTATAGTACCCGTGCGATGCACGGGACGGGGTCGGGGGGATCGAATTAATTTTCATATTAAATAATAGTTTATTGAAACACCACATATGTCTTGTTCTTTTGATGAACTTTGTCTTAATTTAATATGAAGTTTGTCAATATAGATCATATGTGTGTGGTAAGAAATAACTAATTGAGAAAATACCATCATATAGACCATATATGTGTTGTATGAAATAAAAGATGAATATATTGAAAGTTGAAAGTACATCAAAACATGTGGAAGAGGAGAAATAGATTTTCAAAGAAATATCTCAACATCAGATAAATGTTGTATTTGGCTCTTGTGTTTATAATTCTACATATTTTGAAAGCTGTCTGTCTAGTCCAAAATCTAATTTTCTCGTGAAACTTCTACCTGTGGAAACTTGATAATATATGATTAGGTGAAATAATATTACACCATTGACATGTATAGACTAAATAAAATATAATAAACACAGATGGAGCTTTGAAGATTTGATGGAGGGCACACGATTTTCTAATTTTCTAGGGAGGGAATGTTATTCTTTGAGTTGAGTTTTTATTTCTTTATTACGCACCCTACTTCCTACTTTCCTTTACTTTTTATCTTCAATTTGTGTACTTTCTTCTCTTGAATAAAATTTCCTTTTGGTTAAAAAAACACTAAATAAAATAAAAAATAATATTAATTCACATAAAGTAGTATATAACCATTTTTAAAAGATAATATTCTTAGTCAATAATTGAAAAAATACAAACGGTTTACTAAAAAATTACAAACTTTACATGCATCCATCACTGCATGTAACAAAAACACATAGCTTTCTTGATCTAGATCATCAACTTTTTCCAATAATTTTCCAAAACAGATTATCACGAAGTTTCCCTTGCAATAATAAGACGGAGAATATAAGTCCATTTGATGATTAAGAGCCTTATAATTAGAAATTGGAAAGAGAAAAGACACATCACAATCAATCACAATCAATTGATCAAACGGTCACAAACTACGAAATTCAAATTCTCTCAATGAAATCTACCAAGTTCGAACACTTGGTAGTAATAAAACGTCGTCTAGCACGTATATGGGAGAAGATGCAGAAAAAGTTGTCACGCTCCCCCACAGCTAGTGTAATAGCAGAAGCATCTTAGAAGCACCTAGTGTGGACAACTTATGGGCCGGGCTCCTCATACTCCCCTTTGAAAATCCACATTTGCTAGAATATGCTAAGGAGAACATAGTAGAACCAGAGAAACACCATTGAGAATAATGATACCATAAAGAGTTACAGACCCTTCCTCATATTTATAATTCATACCACACTGCATGATCAAGTTGTATGTGGTCTCATGGATGGCTGGAAAAAGGACTTATAAAGAACCAGAATTTTTCTTCAACAAATGGTGATGACCAGTCCATCAAGCAACTCATAGTACTTTCTATAGAATTGTTCGTTGCAGTTTCAAGATCCTGCTCGAACTTGAGTTCCACTCGATATATTTGAAGTATTTGAAAAATGAAATGCTCAGTTCAGTTATTCATATCTTCCTTTTTCAGCGCCAAAGCTTTAGTAGTGTTAACTGTTAAGTTAGTGTATATACATACAAATGTTTATAATCCATAAACGAAATATTTCGATACATATACCACATCTTAATTGTTAATCCACAAAAAAGTTTTCAAACTACTGCCTTCTATATATATAGCATGCATGCTTCTAAGAACAAAAACCAAATATAGCTTGATTCACAAATTAGCCAAAATGATAATCAGTAAATCTCAAAATTTCCAATCAAGTTAAGCAACTAAAACTTACTACGCATAATTTATAACCTGAGATTACAAACAGAAATATGGCCTCTCCCCTTCTTATCCTTCAACTTTACCATTTCCAAACGGGTGATTGAAATGCTTGTTGCTTGCCGTCTTGTTATTAAAAATCGAAACGTCCCTGCATCATATTTAAAAAAAACGGAATACATATTTGGACCATCCTAAGATGAAATCTATAACTGACATAAATTAATAAACCAACCGAATGAACGGGGGGTGACTCTTCACCTTTCGCGACTATCCCAAATGACACAGATGACTGGAAAATAAGCTTCCTGGCCTGCAGACCCCATAAGAGGTTGAAGGATTTGCCGCCTTACCATACCCAATGGCCACTGAAACCCTTTGCCGCTCTCCGTGACCTATCGATGACCGAAGCCTTCCGCCATAATCAGGTTTCTCCCCAACTCAGCTATGATTTTTACATTTTGCCCCCATGTTTATCACATCAAAGGCCAAATTTTTCGCCGCCCATCGAACACGGGTGCCTGAAACCTGTTTCACCTTTTGCAAGATCAAGTCAGTGCTACTTCATGAGTTATGCGAGACCACAACAGGAACGTGTTTATATAGGTCAGCTTCCCGAATAAATGAGTCAAGAATCCGAAGCATCACAACACGAATGGACTCCTTTTTATGATATTTAGTGATACTTTTGCAGAGCGCTGTAGCCCAAGGATAACAATAAATCTTGAGAAGCCTAAACATCGAATTACAACATCCAATGTGCTAATTTATTAATGCAGGTGCATCGGAGTTGCTGAGAAGAGCTCTAGAATATTCACAACACAAGTACTACATAGTTAATTTAGGCATTGAGTGCTGCCACTTCCCGCCCATATTTCTTGAGACTATTCCGTTTTAATATATTATATAGATATAGATATTAATGCATATGGCCGGGGAGAGAACACATAGGCGTTTAAGAGATCCAAATGAATAGTGGATATATCATAATTTTGTCTTAATCATAACTTTGTCTTTTTTTATAGAGAGATCATAAATTTGTCTTATATACTGAAAATATGACTCTTTAGATAATTACGCCATGATATATATACGATATACGGAGTAGAGTAATATAAAAATTCAAAATTGAGAGTTTTTGTGCATATAATAAAATTGAGGAAGTTTGAACTTTGAAGAGAGGGATATAGTATTTTTTTCATGGTACCGCACAGTACGTATTGACTCCATATGAAATGAGTTACTTGTGTACTTGATTAGTTTTCCAAAAAGTAACACCCAACACATCCCTAAAATTCTACCTTATGCTAGAACCTTAAATTTATTATTGTCCAATAAAAAAATCCATTATTGTCCCATAATTTTAGCTCGCCAATCACGGCCACAGGAAGACCTGGGGATTAACTGGGTTTCAAAGACATTTTGGTGTGGTAGGCCGTAGGCACAAATGAGATTTTAGTCAAAGAAGTAACGGATTCCTCTTTACCCTGCGAGTTTCGTAGGAGACTAAAAATTAAGTGCAAGGATAAGCGGTGGTAACCTAGCTAGTTTATCCATTTTTTTTCCCTAGCTAGTTTATCCATATATCTTTAATAAACTTTTTAATTAAATAAACTTTTAATTTTGCTCACCAATTTATTATGATAATAATCAAAATTAGTAATGCTTTAGTAACTGTTGAGGTTTATTCCTTCGATCAATCCGTAGGCCCAACACGTAACACAATGATTTCGAGTGGAAGAGTGTGTACAACGCACAAATGCTACCTGGCCCGAGGCCGTTCGTCTATCTCCCTGAGGATGAGCTGAGAACACTACTATAAGCTAAGAGAATGCTAGAATGTTAAGGTGAATAAGTTGTCAACCATTTACAATGAAATAAATGCTACTATTTATACTACCAAGGGGCAGATGGGTATGCTGACGTGGAGAGCTGTAGATGGATAGGCTCCCACCACCAAATCTCCGGTATTAAATGCGCTTCCCGCCAGAATCTCGGTTTCCCGCCAAGCTTTGGGGACGAGCGTCCTCCTGGGCGTTGGGCCTTCTCTTGGCGTGGGATAAGGATCTCAAGCCAAGCGTCTTCAGCGTGTTGCTTGGTTTGTAGATGTTGTAGTACGCTAGCTAGCCTTTGTGGCTAAGGCTCCCGAGGCCGAGCGTCCCCTCACTGAGACGTACCTTGATGATGCCTT